GAGAATCACCCAGCAGTTGGAAGCAAGGAATGGATGTATTCATAGCACCACATGGATGGATCTTAAAAATGCAGTGTTTATTGAGAAGCGTTAGGGAACATGAAATGTAGAACATAAAATCATGTATGTAAGTCTAAAATGCATGCACACCAAACAACAATACACATTTTTCAAGAGCACATTCCTAAAAGAGACGAGGAGGGGTCTTGCGTGGGCTGGTGCAATGATTTAGCATGAACTGAGAAGGGTTAGCTCAACCCTCTGCACCTGAGGTCACGACAACACTGAATGACTTATTTTTCACAAGTTAGATAAAAATTAGCTCTGAATTCAAGTCCAGTGCCCCTTGTCCAACCTTTTTCTTACAAGACATCCAAAAAGACACTTTTGGATAAAACAGCACAGATTCACATCCTAGCCATTTACATGGTGACTCTCAGAGCCCCTTCCTGTGCGAGCGTGAAAGTGACCTCAGTGGTGCTTTCTTCAGATAAAAGGGAGGGATTGGGGCATAATCCAAAGAACAAGCCATTTTTAGCCTTTCCTCCTTATCAGGTACCAGGCTAGGTGCTTCATAGAAGCCGTCTCATCTAAGCTTCACAGTGAGAGGTAGGTATTATAATGCCCACTTCACAGATGTGCTAACTAAAGCTCAGGGCAGTTCAGTGACTTACCCAAGGTCCACAGTTAGTAAGAAGCAGTGATTGAAGCCAGGCCTTTGTGCTATCTCCACTATGCCATACTGAAAGGCAGGAAGGTCTAGCTGCTCATTTTGAGTCCCTGCACTGGGCACCCAGGAAGACTTAAGGGCCAGGTTGTAGGCATCAGCTGTGGCAGCAAGAAGCCCAGAGGTGGCCCCCTCCATCTTCTCCCCCTGGAAGGATGGGTGGGCACAGTTTCCCCTGAAGGACTCGCCAGTTTCATTGGGTTCCGCAGCATCGTGTGCTGGGGTCCCTTGCGCACTCTCTGGCTTGGTCTAGTGGGGCCCTGCAGCTTCTTTCCTTGGTTTCCATGTCTCTATCGGTCAGTGTGCTCTCTTTCCACGGCCAACTCCTCAAGGGCAGAGACGGTGGGGACTCTCTCCACACAACCCCAGACAAGCAGCCCACACAGCAAAGAGGAGCTGTCTGTGTCTTACTTAGGTTCCAACCTAATTAAAATGCAGTGCTTCTATCTATCACATTAGTTTGGTAGTCCTCTGGGTTTGAAAGTGATTTGTTTGTGCCTGTAAGAAATCAGGTTGTGACAAATTAAAGGTCATGATTAAAAAGGTGCTGCACCTCTGAGCAGTCTGTCTCCAGGTGATTCAACACAGCATCCCTGGAGAATGCAGGCAGAGTGGACGCACATTCTGAACCAATAGTCTGGGCTGGCCACCAAATGTCTTAGAGTCCCACAGGCAAGAAGGATTTCAAGAGCCCCATGGCTTCTGACAGACATCACCAAGACTGTGGCAAGGAGCCCAAGCCTTGGAGTCAAGGTGGCCCTAGGTTCAAACCTGGAACTTGGGCAAGTACCTTAAGCTCATCAAGCCTTAGTTTTATCATCTGCAAAATGGGTATAATAATCCATTCCTCATAGGGTTGTTGTGAGGATTCATTGCAATTGTGAATGGAAAGTATATAACACAGTACCTGGAACAAAGTCAGTGGTCATAATGTTCCCTATTTTCTTGTTATAATTACGAATAAATACCTCCAAGAATGGAGGCTCCCTTAGCAGTGTAACCAACATCCCAGCAAGGTAGAAACAAGCATATTCATCTCTGCCTACACAGTCAGAGAACACACTGACTGACCTAGGTGCACAGCTGAGCACACCAAAGAAAATTAGCTGTAGTTCATCTTTCATTCATTCACACTTTGAAATGTTTAACCTATACAGGAAATGGTTTTGTATGTTAAGTTTCTCTAGCATATTTTATCTTGAGAATGGCTTTTAAAAGCAATTTAGAATGATCAATTCTTAGAGTTAGGAAGGAATGTTCCTAGAAGTCACATAGCCTGAACTTTTTCCAATTTGGGAATCTTTTTACAAGCATCTCCCCAACCCCACCACTGGCAAACAGTAAATCAGCTTCTGCTCAGATAATGGCAGTCACAGGGGACTCACAATATTGGGAGACAGCCTCTGGAAGTTACCACGGTCCTCCTCACGGTCGGCTCTTTTTCTTAAAACTGTCAGCACAGGGGCCAGCCCAGTGGCATAGAGGTTAAGTTCTCATGCTCCGCTTCTGTGACCCGGGGTTCTCCGAGTCGGATCCAGAGCGGACTTATGTGCCACTCATCAAGCCATGCTGTAGCATGCCCCACATACAAGATAGCTCAGGGCGAATCTTCATGATAAAAAAGAACCGTCAGCATAAACATCAAAAGTCAGCTGTCAGTGGACAAGACTCTAGGTCCCATAAGAACTGGGCTGAGGTTGCTGGTTCATTGCCACGTCCACAGGACCCAGCATAGCACCTTGGAACCTAAGAAGCAAGCAAGAGATATTTGATGGATGGATGGACGGATGGATGGATGGATAGATGGATGGATGGATGGATGGATGGAATGTCCTCGCTAGGAGCTATAGAATAAGCTGTATATATTTATCCTCTCATCATACTGAGTCCAAGGAACGCAATACTGCACTTAGATCTAAATTAAAGATTTGGGGAGATCTCATGTGAAACAGTTATAGAGCTGTAACCATCCTAAGACCTGTAAACTATCCCAGGCTTGAGTGTCAGCAATAAAACTCTGCTTTAAAGTGAATTACTAAAGTGACTAGTGGTCAGATGAAAAACAGTCTCATTCATTTTTAACACTAACAGGTGTCTGAGAGATAATTACTAAGAATTGAATTCATTTCCAAATGTCTTCTTCTTCTTTTTTTAAATCTTTAACAATATATAACCTTTCATCTATTTTGAACTTAATGCAACACCTAAGACCTTAACAGAAATGTATGTAATGCTGAATTGGTCACAAGGACAGACCCTTGACAGAATCTGTTTATACTTTCCCAAAACATGCATTTACTCATTAATGACATGGTCTCCTCCTCAAATTAAGTCATTGAATTTATTAACTGTGGTATCTGAGAAGAACAAGATCATTAATAGTGCTTATATTACATATAAATAAATGAGTACATTCACTTTTATTAATAATAAATAAGGCAAGTCACCCTGTCCCAATCTGATTGTGCCACATCTTGCATTGCTTTCTTTCTCTTTTGCAGAATTTCATTTGCTAAAAGTTTCAAGTGCCCAATGACTGATCTATTGTTTCCTTCACAGGAGGAGGGGAGAAGCATTAGGTACCTGGTACCCAGCAAAAGCCCTAACGGCAGAGTTATCAGTGGAATTCCTCAAAGTGACAAAGGGCTAGATGAGGGGTTCCTTGCTGGTACAACCAGGTCACAAGCCTAAGAAGGCTTGACGGGTGTGGCTGGCTCCCTCCCCAAGGCCCGCTCTGTTTCCGATCAGGGCTTTGCTGCGCTCCTTCCCCTGGCTCTCTGCAGGACCTCAGGCTCCAGGAATTTGGACGGAGTGGCAGAGACATCGCCGACAGAGACGGCAATTGCCAGCTTCCTCCCTGTGCTGTCTTGTGATTCAAAGCAGATTCGGCTCCACTTTTTTAAAAGGGGAGCATGTTAATGCTGGAGACCCACAAGAACAGAATCAAGCAAGGAAACACAACAGTGCCACACGAGAGTCCGTGAGTAAGCAGCTCCTCCACAGTGAACCATGGTGGGGATTTGGTCATGGGGAGCCCAGGGCATGAAGGTCTGATCGTTGAGTGTCCTTGTGGGAGGTTATAGCTGCTGCCAGAGTACCGGGACTGGCTCATTTCACAAATGACTCTAGGCTGAGATCTGCTTCCGCCAAACACACACACAGAAAGACACCCACACACACGCACATGCCCACCCCTACGATGCCAAGTCATCCAAGCGCTGCATTTGTGCTTGGCTACAGGAAGGAAGAGTTGGGGAAAAGAGGATGCTTTTCCATTGTGGGCCTGTATCTGGAGTAAACATGGTTGAGTCCAGTGGGTTTACTTGTAAGCTTCTCATAGGAAGTGACTTTGCACTGGGCCTGGCTCACACCAATCCTGTATGATAGCAAAGTTAGAACACTTGGCAAACATTGCTGCAGGCTGCGTGTGTGGCAGAGTCACTGACAACACTTTTTGCTCTGCTTTTCTCTTCTTTGCATTAACTGCCAGCTAATACTCTCTCTTCCTTTGAGGGGTACGTTTTGTGGTAGGAGCTATATTTGTATAATTCTGCTCTCCGTCAAAGTGTTCTTTTTTGTAAGAATAATTCACATCACAAGAATGCTGATATTCTAGGTACAATCAGCTCATGTATCAATATTTTAATGTGCATTTATATCTCAGTGTTTTATATACACTCATGGAAGACTAGGACTTGAGTCACAGGCCTGTTTCTTTCCCCATGTGTTTTCTTAAATGATTCACCGAGCTCTCTAAACCGCATCATCTCTGTATTTGAAATATAATAGCAGCTACCTGTTAAGGTTGTTGTGATGATTAACTGAGAAAATATAAAGTCCTTTTAACACAGTATATTTATTATTATTATTATTATTAACGGCAGACATGGCACAGCTATAAGCTGGCTGAATACCAAGAAAAATGAGTAGGACGTACTTGTTACATTTCTTTTCCAACATAATGGTTTCCTTCTGGTCTGACTAGGGCCTTGCCCAAGATCACACACCTGGTAAGTGACAGAAGCAGACCTAAAATCCATGTCTTCCAACTCACAGTTTGGTTTCACAGTGAGTATTTCCAATGCAGACACAACAGGATGCAGTAACACAGCCGGGTGCAGGGTGAGCCTGGAGGTGGGTAACCAAGACGGCTGACTGAACGTCTCCCTTGGCCATTCCCAGCCCCTGAACTCAGAGCCAGGATGGCACAGTTCTCTGCAGGATGTGACTGCCACTCTCACCTCACCCTGCCTCTCCTCCCTCTGAACTGCAGGAACTCTTCCTGCCTCCATGGGGCCTCTCCTGTTGGCTCTCTTCCTCCTTCACTCCTGCCTCCCGGGAGGAATCAGCGATCTCCGGGAGGACCTGATGTTTCTGAAGACTGAGCACGCACTTCGCCTCTACCGGAGCGTGGCAGCAGAGAGAAGTGGAGACAACCTCGTCATTTCGCCTGTCGGCGTGTCCATCCCTCTAGAGATCCTGCAATTTGGAGCCCAAGGGAACACAGGCCGGCAGCTGGCAGAGGCCCTGGGTTACACGGTCCGTGGTAAGAGGGCTGCTTGCTCTCCTGCTCACTCTGCTGCTCACGCTCATGCTCACACTCTCTCCTACTCCTTCTCACACTCACACTCACTGTGCTCCTCACTCACACGCTCGGGCTGCCTCCGGAGGGGAGAGCTCCCAGCTACCAGGGCGGGCACACAGAGAATAATGACCACTTGGCAGGAATGTAGCAGAATGCACTTAAACTTTGGATCGTGGTTACCCTTGAGGATTTTTAAGGTCCCCTTCTAAGCTCAGGTTCCACGGCAATTTTTCAGTTTTATTTCTCAAGCTCTTTGATAGTGCTTACAAGGTGCCAGGCAGTGTTCAGAGCATCTTGCAAATATTAACTCAATTATTTGTCATAACAACACTATTGAGGTAGGTAATCATATTATCATCCCTATTTTATAGAAGAACATATAGGCACAGAGAGTTTAAGCAACATGCCCAAGTTCACACAGCTAGTATGTGGCAGAGCTGGGATTCCAGCCTAGGCTATCTGGCTCCAGAGCCTATGCTCTTAACCAACCTGCTTTCATAAATCTGTGACCTCTAGCCAGTGCCATATGTAACAACATAATGCTGTGCTTATGCATTTTAGAACAGCTCTGCCTACAGCAGTAAGAGTCCCATGAATGCCAGGTCAGCCACACCCGGCCGGGATTCAGGGTCTCTGGCTTAGTGGCTGACCTCATACCAACCCACCCACTCCACACTAACACAGACACTCACAGACGTAAGTTCTTTTTCTCTATCTTAGAATAAGATGTCAATAAAAAAGGATGGGAGTGACAGTTGTGTAAATTAATATTTTTTAGAAAGTACAGGAACTAATACCAACATGATCTTGGTGACAGCTTCCTTTGGAGCCAGAATCTTGAGTTGCAAGTAAAGGTTAGCTCTCAAGATGTCAGGCCACAAGGCACCAGCTGAGCTTCCCATCTCCCTCCATCCACACCCTGTCCCCTGGCAAAACAGTTCTCGTGGCCAACAGACAAATATGTTTTCTGTCTGAGGCTATTTGAAGACAGACGTAAGTTATCGAGCTTAATTTTTCTCAGCAAGTGTATCACGGAAATGCACGTGTCCCTGGAGTTATTCTTCAGCCACACTAGATTCAGGGCAATGCAATTCATCAAGTTCTCTTGAGCTCCTGCTGCACGGGCTGGTGCCGTGCCAGGAACTCAGCCTCCAGATATATAAGGAAGCCGCTCAGTCTCATAGGAATGATGCGCATGGCAATACACTCTAACGCAGTGCGGTAAGTGAATTTCTTTGAAATAAGTTAGTACAGAGGAAGGAATGATTTATTCCACTGGCAGATCAAGAAGGCTCCCCAGAAGACAGGACACCTGAGATAGGTTATGAAGAATCAATAGGAAAATGAAGAGGGGCAAGCATTTCAGCCTTAAAACACTCACAGAATTCAGGATTGGGGGAAATGAGAAATGCAAGCGTCACTATCCTGCAGAGAAAGGGAACTGATCACAGTCAGTTCTCTGTTGTCACATATAGTTGGGGTACCTGCCCAACCAAACATGATTAAGAGCGTTTCCATAGAGCCCATTCAAGAATTACCAAATGTCAAGAATGCTTAACAGTCAAACTCCGTGGAACATTATCCCACCTTTTGTTTTCTTAGCCATAAACTGCCTCATTATCTCATGGAGCCATGGTTAATTATTATGAACAGGAATGTGGTGCTTACAGAGCTCTAGTTAATAGAATACCCTGTACTTTGGTTTGCCCCAAGATAGCTCAGAAAATTATGTGTGTGCTGCTTAATCCAACGGGCTAGAACCCACCACCTGCTCTGGCCCAGTCTTTCTTTTAAAAGTCAATACTGACCAAAAATACTTGCAAAAAGCAGCAGCAAAGCACATCCCAGGGTCTTGGGGCATTGCTCCTGTTCAATCTACAGAAAGATCTCTTCAGGTTTGCAGTGGGCACATCAGCAGTGTCTTCCCACTGAGTACCCAGCCAGTATGGGACAACCAGGAGCTTTGCCAGGACTCCCCCCTGCTGGTCATAGGAGCACAGCATGAGATTCAGAACAGACACCAGTGGTGTCTCCAAAGAGTACCCTTGTTTTCACCACATGCAACGCATGATTTCCCAATGTTCCAAGTTCTTGGGATTTCCATTGTTTTTCCAGGTAAATGAACAGAGCTCTCTCGCTTAAACAGAAGATGGAAGCTAGGAGCAGAGGCCTCAGAGATGGAGGTGGCCTGGCCCTTGGGAAAGAATTCTGTTTGATGTTGCATATGGATTTCACTTTTAGAGTCATTATGTCATTTGACCCTCATAGAAACCACATACAATCTATAGGCTGCCATTAATAAGCCCCATTTTACAAGTGAGACCAGAGGTTAACGATTTGGCAAGACTCAGCTCACTCAACAGGCAAGTCAGCGGAGGCAGGATTCGAGTTCCAGATTTTCTGACTCCAAATCCTGTGTTCTTTCCACACTCCCTTAGCTCCGGTCTGAGCCACTGAGCAGTTGCATGAATACATTAGGACTTTACCTTCTCTATTTTTCACCAGGACTATTCTCATTAATCTCTCAGCACAACCAGACTCTACAGACATCACCCTAAAACGTAACCCTCTTTTAATTCTCTGGCAATTAAAACATCAGCATCACCAAGATGTTTCTTGTAGTTTGAGAATTTCCTATACATTAACATTACAAAGTCCGGACCCACCAGATTCAGTGTCAGATTCGAGAAGTCCAGTTCAGCAAATGCATTAAAAAGGAAGGCGCTCTTTGCTGGTCTTGCAAAGCACTTAGGAGGCTGGGCTGTCTGCAGCAAGACTCATGAAAATATCACTTCTCCTTCCAGCACTTTCCTCCCACTCTCTGCCCATCCCAGGGACCCTCTCCTCAAACCCTCCACACCTCCCCCACCACATTCCTGATCTCCTGCAGCCCCCGTGTTTTTCCTTCCTTCTGCCTCCTTCCCTGCTCAGCATTCTGTTAGAGCCACCTAGCCCCTCTCCTGCAAGAATGATGGCTTCCTGGGGGTTGGGGGGGAAGGGGGTGGTGGGCAGGAGGCGGGGGAGGTGGAGAGGAATTAAGCCAGCAGTGACAGGATGCTCTTTCCGGGTGTGAGGGAGGGGCAGTTTGTCATCAGTCCCTTTTGCCCCATCACGAACAGGGACCTGGGAAACTCATGACATTACATACAGCAAAATAGGAGGCTTTGGGCTTTGTGCTCCAAGAGCAAGAGGCTTTCCCAGCTTACCTGTCCTTCACCCGTCTGTGGGAAGGCAGTAAAGCACCACCTCCCACAACCCATGGCCCTGCACAAGTTTATTAATTTGTCTAAGTCCCAGCTCCCTCTCCTATAAATGGGGATCATAACAGCACTTAATTCACAGGGTTGCTGAAAGGATTAAATGTGATCGTGAATGTAGAGTGTTTAGCACAGAGTCTGTGAACACCGTCAACCTTCAGTATTTTTTATGCTAGTGATGTATATTCTGGCAGCGCCCAGAAAAGCTCTTCCTGTGTGCAAACGGGCAGGCACATTTCTCGGGTGGAGAAAAGATTTCTCAATTTACTCTGCTACTTTAATGTGTGTGTCTGGCTAAAGGAACACTGGTCCCAGATCAGGTGAGAGGACAGAGGGGAGAGCTCTGTGACCATTTCCCAAGGTCACAGTACACTATGGACCAGAGAAATGTCTCACTTTGTTCTTGCAGAGACAGTGAACATTCTACAAAGACACGGTTCTATAAATACATATGACCTTCCTCAGTAGAGGAAAATCTGATCATAAGTATTTTTTCATTTATTTCTTTTGTTAAAATAAAAAGCAAGCACTGGAGGTAGGCTGTAATTCATGAGATTTATGTTCTGGGTCCCTTTTTTACAGTTGCAGATTCTAAGCAGCTGCTTTGGTAGTGAAAGTTTTGTGGTCGAGTGAAATCTGTCTGCAACTGTGGTCTGCAGCCTGGTGGCGGGGGGCCCTGGCCAGGGTGTATTCTGGGTGCCCATGCCTCGTCCTACCCACCCCAGAGGACTTTGGCCAGGCAAGTCGGGGATCTGCTGCTGCCTCCTGGCCTGGCCTCTGGGACATGAAGGGTGTCAGAGTGGATGGACCCCAAACCAATCAGAGATTCATCTCAACAGGAGCCCTGGAAGAGCCAGATGGGGCAAGGTGGTGCAGGAAGAGGGTACCAAGCATGCATCTCACAGGGGAGATTCATGGAGAGCCACAGGGCTGAGACTAAGAGGAAGGAGAGGCCCAGAGGACAAGGGGGCGGCCACATTCCAGAGCAGCCTGCACAGGAAGGGCACCTGATGCCTGGAAATGCCCAGCTTGCAGGTATCAGGAGCAAGGAGCTTGGGATATTCAGCTGTATCCTCATTTACCATGTGTGAGAGGCCTCACTCCGGTTACGGATGCCTAGGGGAGGATGGGAGCTGCAGCTTGTGAGTAACAGTGTGGAAAAAAAATCCGCTATTGATTATGGAGGGAAGGAAGCAATCTCCTGTGTAAGTAGTAAGTAAATAGAAGGTCAGCTGCCATGAAGAAGGCAGAAACTATCGACTCTCTCAATTGCTTATTATTTCCTCAACATTCTTTCAGGTTCTCGCTGACATTAATAACACGAGCTGCCTGCTGGGTCTTAGAGAGATGGGGAATGAGAAGCGTTCTTACCTGTCCTCTGTGTTTCTCAAATTGAAGGCATAGTTCTAAAAGAGGCTGCATTCAATTGTCACTCAGGCTTATGACATGCAGTCTTGGGAATGGATTTAAGGAGCTGCACAAGATATATTGACAATTCAACAACCCGGCCACCGTGCATCATTGTTACTTGTGAGGTTCCCCAAAATCGGTTGACTTCGTCATTATTCGAAGCCCCATCACCCTGCATACCAGACCTGCGGTTTTCCCAGCTTTCTCTATTCTAGCACTGGTCAACATTTTTGACTCTGAAAGTTAGGAAAGAATAGCCTCTGGGATGTTGGTAGTGTTTTTCTATTTGACTTAATCACAGCCTGATTTCTTCTAGATCTGGCATGGGTTTTTCCCCGAACTTCTAATCTGTGGATACAGGCTAATTCCTGAGCGATTTAGCTATGACTTTTCCAGATTGACTGTACATGGTGGAGGAACCCTATGAAAGCAGAGTGGGGGTGCTGAGGCCCCATTTCAATGCAATGTGCAAACAGAGTTGTGCTAACTCCCTACTCACACTCACCAGTGTCAATTTATCCCAACACCTTTTTCACAGACCAAAGGGTGAAAGAGTTCTTGCACGCCGTTTATGCCACACTACCCAACTCCAGCCAAGGCGCCAGGATGGAGCTGGCCTGTACCCTTTTTGTGCAGGTGGGAACGACGCTCTCCCCCTGCTTTGTGGAGCAGGTCTCCCGCTGGGCCAACAGCAGCCTGGAGCCAGCCAACCTCAGTGAGCCCATCAGCGCCATCCAGGAGGATGAATGGGCCTCCAGGCAGACTGCAGGTAAAAGAAAACCATCCGCCTCAGTGAGGCTAAAGTCAGAGGGCTATAAAGACAGATTCACCAGAAGCCATGAGGATGGGTACTCAGGCCACTCTCTATTGCAACAGAAGTTTGTCCTCTTGGGGGAGCCTACATTGAATGACGTCCTCTATGCAGCAAGCAAACTGACCCTTGGCCCCCTTCTACCTCTCCCCCCCAACCCAGTCATTCACACTCACACGTGCGCACACCCACTCACACAGAAAGGACTCTTCAGAGTGTCCCACCTCCAGGAAACCCTGCAGGCTTTGACCCATGCAACTGTCCCGGAAGTGAGTCCCTCCGAGCTCTACTGTCACCTACAGTTAACCCCCCTGTGACAGCAAAATGCAGTAGGAGCCCAAAAAAGTGGTTTCTTGGGAATTTAGCTTAAGGAAATAATTCAAGAGAAGAAAAAGCTATATGATAAGATGCTCAGCCCAGTGTTATCAAAGAAAAAGATTTACAAACAACCTAACTGTCCAGCAATTAGGGATGATTCAGTGAATTACAGCACCTGTGTATGATGCGGTTGTAATTGTTATTAAAGACAATGAAAATTATCAACGTTTGCTGAGTGCTCAGTTTATTTATTTAGCACTCTTCTAACTCCTCCACGTTTATTATCCCAGTTCACCCTCACAGTAATCCTAGGAGGGAAAATCCTCATTTTGCAAACGGAGAAACTGGGACACAGAGATTGGGTCTCCCATCCAGGGACCGCAGAGCCAGGATTCTAATCCAGGTAGTCTGTCTCCAGCATCTTTGATAATTACAAAGGTCACTGGAAATAGGGAGAACGTTCAAAACCCAGTGTTGTTTAAAACGCAGAACAGAAGGTGATATGAACTTTATGATTGAACTGAGAACAAAGTATGCATGGACAAGGTGCGCAGAGTTAAAATGCAAACATGAAGATCTTTATTGATAAGAAGCTTTCCTCCTCTTTCTCTCTTTCACAGTATCTTTTCAATTTATTTTAAAATGTTTTAATTCCCTGTCTCCTCTGGTTGTGCTGCCAGGGACCCAAGGCCACAGTTAGCTGCTCTCAACCCCCAGGGCAGATTGTCCTCTAAGAAAGAGGGGCAATCGGTGTGGCCCTGAAAGGCCTGGAGTCTGGGGCCAGGTTGCTTGGGTTCAAATCCTAGGTTTCTATCTTGGTCAACTGGTAAGATAGTGGCTTTGCCCCTCACAAGTACATGACCTTGCACAACCTCTCTGAGCCTTGGTGACCCCATCTGTAGAACTGGGAATAACAAAACGACTGTTGGGAGAAGTCAGTGAGGGCTTGTAAAGCCTTTAAACAGAGACCGGCACAAAGTAGGTGTTTATTAAATAAATAAAGGGCTGGGACAAAAGCTGTCCCTTGAGGGGCACTCAGGCTGCTGCTCTCTCTGGTGACACATGGAATCGCAATGACCCCACCATGAAAGTTGTCTGAGCAGAGGCCCTGCCAGGAATGAGGCTTGGCAGCCAGGGCGATGGGGTGGGGATAACATCGTGCAGCATCTCCCATCACAGCACCCAGGCCCTCCCAGGGGTCTGCCTCAGGGGTGCACACCTGATGCCTCCTGGGAAACTGCACCAGCTGGAACCTGCTGGAACCAGCAGAGCATCCCAACCTGTTCAGAAAAGAATACAAGCATGGTCTTCAGCTGCAGCTAGTTACAAACACTACAATTCCACAACTCATAGATAGTAACAAGCAGGCTACAAAGCCCACTTCAGGGACGCTTCAGCACCCCCCAGAGAATGCACAGGTGTCCGCAACACAGTCCCTCTCCACCTGCAGGTGAGGGCCCAGGTGGCTCGATGAGGGAGCGCGGCAACGCAGCACTTGCTCAGCTGGCGCTGGTGAGCACCATGTCCTTCCGAAGCACTTGGCGGCAGAGATTCTCCTCCACGGACACTCAGCTCCTGCCTTTCACCTGCGCCCAGGGCCGTGTTCTCCGGGTCCCCACGATGTACCAAATGGCCGAGGTCAACTACGGTGAGCTTCTTCCCCACAGCCGTGCTGCCTAGTGAGAGGAACACCAGGGTGAGAGGAATGCGGGCGGGGAGAGGAGGCCAGGTCTCTGCTCTCAAAGGATCAGGCTGAGTTTCTCTGTGGTTCTCTCTGCCATATGGTGGGTGTGGCGTAAGGAAAGACCAGGGAGCCGGGAGACTCTGAGGAAGGTAAGGAAGCAGATGTGAAAGAGAAACCCAATTTCATGCTTGACATTTCCCTCCTCACTTAGTAAAGGGAGGAGTTAGTGTCAAACCAAAGACGTTTGGACCAAACCCCTCCCTTGGGAGGCACCTCCATAAAATGAACACCCGCTTCACCTTTGGTGCTGAGAAAAGATGGGAAATTGAGAGTCCAGTCTAAAAGGCTCTCAGGAGTATGACCACACTGAAAGTGCCACCGGTCCTAAAATACCATTGTTCTGCCTGATGGTCACTCATCCTGGTCAGAGTGGGGGTGCACCAGCGAGCACCTGGCAGCCCCCATCCCGGCAGACTGGTGTGTGGTGTGTGTACCTCAGTGGGACCCCAGCACCCTGCCCCTACACACCTCCTTTCTCAGTCTCACCTGGCAGCCCTCGTTTGCAGGTGCAGCCCCCTCCAGCTTGTAGGACTAATTAGTTTCCTATTCAGGAAAAAGCTAGTGAGACTTAAATCAGTGTTTCAGGAACTTTGGCATTTAGAAAACTTGCTGGTCATCCTGTTCTGATTCCACGCAGGACTCACAGAGTGCTCAGTGAATTTATTCATTTGTTTATTCAACCAATAATTCTTAATTGAGGTCAAGTAAGATGAGAAGAGAAGAACGTCTATTGGATAAGTAATCATCCCTTTAAGATGTATTGTAGTTCTTGTTCCTAATACTTTCCTGTTGCCTCTGTGACCCAGGCTGGTTCATCTGACTGTCAGCTACATAGTGGCAGGGGGGCTCTATGACACTCTTGTTCTTCTCTTAACACCCAGCGTGCAGTGCACAGTAGCTGGCACTTAATGGATGCTGAGCAAATATTTATTGAATAGATAAAGTAAGGAGTAGGAACCATGCCCCTATCTTTCCCCACTAAGCCTAAGATTTTTGCCTCAGCAGCCAGTCAGGTCTGCCATCCCACAATGCTAGGGCCAGCCTTGCTGTCCTCCCCGGGAAGGGATCTGTCTGGAGCTCCACCCGAGGCTGGAGCTGCCCCAGGCCGCCAGTTCTCCCCAGCCCACCTGGATTGCTCCATATTCCTTGTCCTCCTTTCCCATCACTAGGTCCAGCCACTGCCTCTGCATTCACCAGCAAGCCTCACTGGGGCGCCCCGTCTCTGGCCATCTGTGTCTGCTGCCACCTGGACCATCATCACATGCCTCCAAAATCATGCTCTGCCCAATGGGCTGGACTTGTCCTCACTCAGCCATTGCCATTGCCCACAAGCTGCCAGGTGCCCATCCTGTGACATATTTGTTTAGGTCACTGGTTACAAATTATCAGCCCCCAGATCAAATCCAGCCTGGATTCATGCTTTGTTAGGCCTACGCAGTGTTTTAAAAATTGGGAAATTTCATTGAACGTCTGGGTTTAGAGCTTTGGTTGAAAGATAGGAAGATCTAGCACAAAGAGCCTGGGTCCCCACATGACCACACTAGGCCAGGACTGGAGTGACTGCCTCTGTAAGACAGGGTGTATTGTTCTCCCATGTGCCATCATCGCCACTGTGCCCAGCCACTGCAGGCCCTGGGACTCAAGCCTTGTTAGGGTATCTTAGAGATTGTAGGCCTTAGGATCAGAAAGGTGACCAGAGCACCCAGCAGTCTTTGGCCTCAAACTGCTTCCTGAGGGTGAGGTGGACACCTTGTTAACAAAATGCATTGTTTCCAGTTCTGTGAGCTGGTCCTTCCAGGGCCTGGCACTGTTTGGTTCCCCTAGCTCCTGGGACAAAACTAACCCCCCATCCACTGAACCTCCAGGCCAGTTCCGGGACCCAGCGGGCCATCAGGTGGGGGTACTGGAGCTGCCTTACCTGGGAAGCACAGCGAGTCTGCTCCTGGTGCTGCCCCGTGACAAAGACACCCCACTGGCCCACATTGAGCCACACCTTACAGCCAGCATCATCCACATCTGGACCTCCAGCCTGAGGAGAGCCAGGATGGACGTGTTCCTGCCCAGGTGAGCAGCTGTGTCCTCCTTACAGGTTGCTCTGCAGCCTAATCCAGCCGACCAGGCCTGGATTAGAACATAGGCGGTCTGACTCAAGTCCCTCCTTAACCACTCGGCTGACTCACCTAATGTACCCCTAGAGGTTTGGCCAAAGTGGAGCTAGCCTAGAGTTCAGGTCCATTGAGAGTCACTGCTCATTAACTCATGACACTGACTGAAAGGAACTAATTTCCTGGGGTCTTCTTAAGAGGAGATGCTCTGCCTTCACTGGGTCAGGCTGGAGCCCCCAGGCACCCACTCCAGCTTCACGCCACAGCCAGTTCTCTGGGCAGGGAAAGAAGAGCAGTCAGTTCCCTTGGAGGAATGTGCCCCAAACCTTATCATATCCTTAGAGTACACAACTGTCATTTTTCCAGAACCAAAAAGGCAAGATAGCTAATATAACTGAGCAAATAGAGATGTAATTCTGATCAGAATTAAGGCATAAAAATTCAAGACTTTAAGTCTCTGTGCTAAAGATTCTCCTTCTTTCTAAATAGAGGTGACCCCTTCTTTAAGAAAACCCAACAGGTACCAATACAAATTGTCAAAAAGTTAAATGATGGCGCTTGATTTTGCTTTTCCAAGGCAAAACCTATCTGCAAAAGTCACTACTTTACAAAAGGACTCCTCATTGAACTTCCTTAAATGATAAGTTTTTTTGGTACACTTGAAATCAGAGTGAATTTAGAATTAATCTGTAGACCAGCATTGAGCCAAGAATGTTGTCCGAGGGCTCATGTTCAGCGTGTGGCTTCTTCATGCTCCTCCCCGCTGGCCATCCTGGCCTTCTCCACTCACCAGGCTCTCAGCAGTGCTGAGCCAGAGGCCCTGGCAATGCTCCCTAAAGGAGTTAAAAATAAATTCAAGCAGTGGAATAAAAACACACAAGGAGAACCCTAGTGAGTTAAGGGCCAAGGGCTAAAGTGGGATCTGGCATAGCCAGGGCAGAAAGAGAACTCAACTCTAACATAAATCCTGTCTCTCCAAGCCAAATATTTGGACCCCAAATCAAAGCACAGAGCCTGGATATTTCAACAGGTCTCTCTAGCAAGGAGCAGAAGCAACCTTAATCTTTCTGTTACATTTGATAGAAGCTCAGAGAAGGAAGAGGAGCTGTCACTGCTAAAAGCAGAGAGAAAGTGCAGCCTAGTGCAGGAATTTGCCACAGTCTTTGAGTTTAGGAGACAGATGCCGGCCTCCTCCTGGAAGACGGCCCAGGGAGGTGCCTGCTCCACTGAGGACCCTCCACTGTCACTGATTCTGCCTTTAGAACTTGCAATCCCCTGAGGAATGATCCTGAAAAACACTGGAGGACAGGGAAGGGACGGGAAGGCAGAGATGATAGTAACACAAGTAGTAGTTAACATTTGACCTCATCCTGATAAATTTTTTTTATTTCGCTAAGACTATCAAACCTGCTGTCTGAGAAGGAGAGAAGTGTTTAGGGAAATAAGGCTATTTCACAAGCCAAATGAACCAAGTAAAAAAAACAAAAAACAAAAAACGAAAACCTAGCTTTAAACCCTTCAGGGAATAAATAGAGAAAGAAGCTAAAACTATTTTAGGTCTAGATTTGGGTACAAAACTTTGGACCATAGTAGACACAGGTCAGCTTTTGGGTAAGCATTTAGCTCTAGTTCCACAAATCATTCATCATTTCATATGACTTGTTCTGTAGTCAGCCTGAATTTTTCATTTAGCAAGAGCAAAACCTTGTGCATACCATGGGTAGCAACGCGAAACTTGTGTGGCAAAACATCATTAAGCAAGTAAATTCTGGATGAATTATGATGTCTAGCTTCCAAAGTAAACTTTTATTTATTTATAAAGAAATAAAATAAAAAGTATAGGGACTATTAGTCTTCTTTAGGTACATTATCATCCCAAAAGAATAATCAAGAAAATCAACGAGTGGTAACAGGGGTCACTTATATCCATAATGCCGTAATGCCCTACAAGAAAGACTAATAACGTCAAATATATACTTGTTTAATGAATAACACATTTAGTTTTTAGGTCAACAAAGTAGGAAGCTAAGCATGAGCATTTTTTTCCTAATATCAGAAGTGATATATGTATTTTTAAAGTCCACCAGATCTCTCATATCCAAAATGAGTTTTGCCCTTCCTTCAAGGAGGTGCTGATCATTGTCATGCAGGGTTTATGCTTTTCTAAGGGTTTTTTCTTTCCTTTTTTTGGAAACTGAGCTATAATTCACATATCATAAATCCATTCTTTATTTTTCTTCTTTTTGCTGGGAAAGATTCACTCTGAGCTGACATCTATTGCCAATCTTCCTCTCTCTCCTTTTTTTCCCCCCTCCCCAAAGCCCCGGTACATGGTTGTATATTCTAGTTGTAAATTTTTCTCTTTCTTCTATGTGAGCTGCCACAGCATGGCTACTGACAGATGAGTGGTGTGGTTCTGCGCCCAGGAACTGAACCTGGGCCACTGAAGCAGAGCGCGCAGATCTTTAACCATTAGGCCATCAGGGCTAGCTCGAAATCCATTCTTTTAAAGTGTACAATTTAGAGGGTTTCAGTATATTTGCAGAGTTGTATGAACATCACCACTATCTAATTTCAGAACATTTTCATCACTTCAAAAAGAAACTCCATACTCACTAGCAGTCACTTGCATTCCCCCTCCCCCCAGAAAGTGTTTTGGCACTTTTCCACTTTTTGACTACTACAAACATTTTTGTGTGGATATATGTTTTCAATTATCTTGGGTATATACCTAGGAATGGAATTATTGGGTCATGTGTTAACTCTGTATTTTACATTTTGAGGAACTGTCGGTTTTCCAAGTGGCTGCACTGTTTTACATTCCTACTAGCAATGTATGAGAATTCCAATTTCTCCATATCCTCGTCAACACTTGCTATTGTCCTTTTTTTTCTTAAGTCCCTCCTCGTGTTTAATGGTTACGGAGTTTCAGTTTGGGTTGATGAAAAAGTTCTGGAGTAGACAATGGTAATAGTTGGACAACAATGTGAATGTACTTAATGCCACTGATTTATACACCTAACATAATTAAAATGGCAAATTTTATGTTGTGTGTATTTACCACAATTTTTCTAAAAAAGCCCCTCTTCATGGAGGAAGGAAGGTAGGGAGAGGACAAAGACTGCCTTCCCAAAACATGGATTAAAAAGTAGGGATGTTGTAAAGTTTTCGTTCAGGAACTGTATAGTTATTTTTAGTTGTATTAGTTAGGACAAATTCACCTCCTCTGTCCCCCAGCAATGTCCTCCTCTATGCTTTGCCTTCCTCCTCAGGCTGGAGGCAAGATGGCTGCAGCCCGTCTGACCTCACAAGTGTGTATAACAACAACTGTAGGAGAAAGCCCCCATGTTTTTGATTATAGGTAGTATGAAGTGGTATCTCATTGTGACTTTCATTTACATTTCCCTAAAGACTAATGATGTCAAGCATCTTTTCATGTACTTGTTGGCCATTTATGTATCTTTTTTTGGAGAAATATCTATTTGAATTATTTGGCCATTTTTAAATTGGGTGTCTTTTTATTGTTGTAATATTTCCTCACATATTCTAGATACTGGTCACTTATCAAACAAATGATTTGTAAATATTTTTTCCCATTTTGTGGTTTGTCTCTTCGTTTCCTTAATGGTGTCCTTTCAAGCACAAGCATTTTTAATTTTGATGAAGTTCAATTAATCTATTTTTTCTTTTGTTTCTTGTACTTTATTTTTGAGGTCATATCTAAGAAACCATTGCTTAACCAAGGCCACAAAGATCTATGTCTATGTTTCTTCTAAGAGATTTATAGTTTTAGCTCTTGTCTGTAGGTCATCAACGCATGTTGAATTGATTTTTGTGTACGGTATGAGGTAGAGGTTCCACTTCATTCTTTGCATGTGGCTATTCAACTGTTTCAGCACCATTTATTGAAAAGACTGTTCTTTCTCTCATTAAACTTTCTTGGCACCCTTGTTGAAATCAATTGACTATAAATGTATGGGTTTATTTCTGGATTTTCAATGCCATTCTATAGGCATAAATGTCTATACTGCTGCCAGTCTGACACAGTCTTGGTTACTGTACTTTTTACTTTGTTTAGAAATCAGGAAGTGTTCAGTCTTTCAACTTTGTTCTTTTTCAAGATTGTTTGGGCCGTTCTGGGTCCCTTGCATTTCCATATAATTTTAGGATCAGCTTCTCAGTTTTTGCCAAAAAGGCAGCTGGGATTTTGATAAGGATTGTGTTGAATCTGTAGATTAATTTGGGGAACGTTGCTTTCTAACAATATTAAGTATTCCAATCCACAAACATGGAATATCTTTCATTTTATTTAGGTTTTCTTTAGTTTCTTTCAACAATGTTTTGTAGTTTTCAGTATACAAGTTTTACACTTCTTTTGTTAAATTTATTTCTAAGTATTTGTAAATGTTTTATTCCTTTTGGTACATTGTAGATGGGATTTTATTTTCAGATTGGTCATTGCTAGTATAAAGAAACACAGATGATTTTTGTATCTTGATCTTATACTTTGCCACCTTGATGAACTCATTTATTAGCTTTAACAGTTTGTGTGTGTGTGTATAGATTCCTTAGGATTTTCTATATACAAAACCAAGTCATCTGTCAACAGAGATAGATTTACTTCTTTTTTTCTAATCTAGATGCATTTTATTTCTTTCTCTTGTGTAATTTCCCTGCGTACCCTTCAGTACAAAGTTAAATAGAAGTGGTGGACATCCTTGTCTTGTTCCTGATCTTAGGGGGAGAGCATTTGGCCTTTCACCATTAAGTATCATGCTAGCTGTGGGTTTTTGTAGATGCCCTTTTTCAGGTTAAAGAAGTTCCCTTCTATCCCAAGTTTGTTGAGTAGTTTTGTTTTTGCTTTTATGAAAGGGTATTGAATTTTGTCAAATGCTCTTTCTGTATCTATTGAGATAATCACATGGCCTTTGTCTTTTATTCTATTTATATGGTGTTTTACATTGATTGATTTTCATATGTTGAACCCACTTTGCATTCCCGGAATAAATCTTGCTTGGTCATGGTAGAATTTATATGCCGTTGGATTCAAGATGCTAGTATTTTGTCGAGGTTTTTTGCATCTATATTCATAAGGGATATTGGTCTATAGATAGTTTTCCTTTTTGTGATGTCCTTGTCTGATTTTGGTAAAGACCGTTGTTTTTTATTCAAGAGAGTTTTGTAGCATTTCTTCTGGACTGGCCTTCATAGCCATACCAAAAAAAATCACTCTCACCTTTTATAGTCATACCTCACTTTTACTATTGTTTTTAATTTACTGAAAATGATACTACCCAATTTTATCACTCACCATAATCACCACACTTGGCTTCAAACATCCCTTAGCTCTTTCTCAATATCATTGAGAAACAATAAAACCACAGTGGTAACAGTATAGTACATGAGCTATAGTGGGCATTGTTCTGAGCACTTTACAAGGATTATTTCACCTAATCTTCACAACAGTAAGAACTAAGCACTACTATTAAGCTTATTTTACAAATGAGGAAACTGGCGCAAATAGAGGTAAAGTAACTTGCCCCACATCCCTCAGCTAATAAGAGGCTGGACCAGGATTCAAACCCCGGCACTGGATTCCCAAATTCACGCTCTTCACTGCTATGTTTCAGCAGTAGGAGTTTTCATAGTATGTGTTTTAGGTATTTAAGAACATTTCAGAAGAGGTGACCCAAAACTTTTTTGAGAAACATCAGCATGCTTGGAGAAAGCACATACCTTTTTTGGAAACTATTCTGAAGATCCAAAACATACATCTAGGAGAAAATTGGATGCTTTTGGTTAAAATATTGGTCACATTGTCTTGTACAGCAATGGAGACCTTTGATATTAAATGGTTTTATCCAGTATTTTTACTCTCCTACAAGTTTTGTGTGGTTTATAGAAAAAGGCCATCTAAATTCCATTTTGAACTTTTTTATTTTCAAAGAAAAATAATGTCAGTAATTCTTTTAAAGGATGCTTCAATAGTAAAATGTTAAATACCTTGCCCTTGGGGAAATGTTGCAGAGTTCAAGGTATGTTGATTCTTCCCACCCTCAGGACTTACTAGGAAAAGCAAAGCTTTCACCTGACTTCCTCCCCCGCTGGGTGTCAAAGGCACACATTGCCCACAGCAGTCATGAAAATACGTCTTATCAAATGAGACACTCTATTGATTGTCAGATAGTCAACAACTTCTTTTCTGCACCTACTATGTGTGAGATGCCACACGAGATGGGAGGTAGCAAAGTGTAGACAACAAGAGCGAAGGCTATGCACTCAGCCTCAATTTGAGTTGAGCTCCACCACACACTCGTTAGGTCCTCTTGGGCAAGTTTCTTAAACTCTTTAAGCCTCAGTTTTCTCATCTGTAAAAAATGAGGATAATAATAACAGTTATGTGAACATGAAATGAAATAATCCACATAAAATACTTAGCAGAGTGCCCCGCGCATGGTAAGCACGCAGTAAAAATTCATTATAAATAGGAAATAAAAGATTGGCTGGGATAGCCTCTCCTCAAGTAGTTTACAACAACATAAATAACAGTAGTAGGAAGAAGAATGTTCTATACATCAAAAGAGTAGAACAAAGTATTAATGGGACTTCAAGAACCTAAGGTCACAAAACAGCTGGAAAGAAGTGGAGGAGATAAAAATTGAAGTGGGCTTAGAGGAAAGAGTAATTCAAAGGCAATCAAGAGAGATGGGAGAGACCTGGAAAACACAGCAGGAGCAAAGGTACAGAGGTGGGAGAGAGCCCTGTGCGGTCAGACGCATCAGTGGGTAGAGTTTACGGGAAGGAGCGATAAAAGATAAAGCTGGAAATGAGTCTGGAGATCCCTGACTTCCAAGTCAGAGAGTTTGGACGGCACATAGTGTGTATGAAAGTATATTGAGTGAGAATTTTAAGTGAAAGTTGATGGTTTGTTTTTGTTTTTTAGATTTCGGATACAAAATCATTTCAACTTAAAAAGCATTTTAAATTCTTGGGGAGTCACCGATCTTTTTGATCCACTCAAAGCTAACTTGAAAGGAATTTCAGGTAACAACAGTTCTTCTTCCAAACTTTTTGGCATTGTGTTTGGGGTAGTTTTATCAGGCTTTGATGAAGGGATTCTCATTGTTTCTACAGAGCTTTTAGTGGTAAACAGCCAGTGTTAACATTATTTAAAAGAATAAAAGAAAGAGTTTTGCTTTGGACTTTGTCAGGGAGGGGTATTTCTTGAGACCTCTAAGCACCATTTTCAGAGACCACCTTCAGGGTGAGGTCAATGGCTACAGGACACAATACAACTCACCCTCTGTCTGCCCATCGTGATCAGGGGCATGCCAGAGACATTGGTGCAACAACAGAGCTCTTTTTTCTCATCTCCCGCTGTCATGCCAGCCTCACAGTCACCCTTTGCTTCTGTCTTCTCTCCCTCCCTCCTTCCCAGTATCTCCTCTCCCTCTTCCATCTAACTTTTTTTTCAAATTACCCATGCACCTATAACTTTGCCCTAAAATGTTATCCTTCCCAGAGTCCATATTGAATATCTCTGCCCATAGTAGACATGCTACCACTAATCAATAGGAGCTGTGTTTGCCTATGATCTGACAGGGAACTTAGATCAAATATTAAAAGAGAGTGGAATGCCAGAACCTTATTTTCCAGAATCCTCTCAGGAGACCATTGGCTAAACTATTGCCAACTCCAAAGGCTCAGGTTTGTTTTCGCTCTAGATAGTAGTAAATTATCTGTATGCAGATGGCACTGTAGCAGGTGTTTTCATTGGTCTTGACATTTTCCTTGTGTAACACAATGAGCTTGAGAATCTCTATTTTGAATGCTAGAACCTCATAGCACAGAGAAGTTTTCTAAAGCTCCACTCAGAATCTTCTTTCTTAAGCAATCACAGAAAAAATGGGAATTTGGTTCACAAGAGAAGTCTTGGCTTGGACTTTAGATGTGACCAGACAGACTAACTGGCAAAGTTCCTTATCAAATAAAACACAGGAGGAGGGATCTTTCTAGAGAATGTAAAATTCACCAACTCTGCATGACTAAGCATGCAAAGAGATAAGCAAACTAATAATCAAGTTTGGATGCAGTGCCCCCCAAAATGCTTGGATATCCAACAAATATTGTTGACTTGATTGAATGACTTGACCATAAATTTTCCCTAGTGACACAGGTGTAATCTGACACTGTAGGGAAACGAGGAAGACTAGAGTGAAAGGAACAAAGTGCAAGGAAGGAAAAAGGATGAAGAACTTGAGTGCACTCTATCTTTAATAATGTACAAAATCCAATCACAGTGTCTTCTTGTGACTCTGGAGTTCAGCCATGGCATCCCTGTTGTTGATGGTGATATCATTCTTCTTTTAAACATCCTAGTTCAAAACTTTGGGGCCATTCTTAACCTTTTCTTCCACACCACTGCATTCAATTAATCACTATGACTTACTTATTGCTCCTTTGTAGCTCTTCAATCTCTCTCCCTTTATGTCCTAGAAGTTTACCTTAAAATGTCATCAATTCTGTGTCCTCAAATAGGACTGAGCTTAACCCACATCACACAGCTGCTCTATTGATAAAGACTTCCGAGGCCTATAAGCTCCTTTGATAAGATCTAACAAGCAACCTAGTTTAAAAAGTATCTTTTTGACACCTAACCTCTTTTTTTATCATGCATTTCAAGTGTATTTATATTTGTTCAAATCAGAAGAACTATAGGCTCATGGATCTTGCTTGCTAAATAATTATCAAGGAAGTACCATGTGCCAAGTGTGAACCTTGCATTATGTTTCCTACTGATAAAATAAAACAGCCTTATGATCTTTTCCCATAAAGTTTTGTTCCTCTAACATAGGGGTTACCAAATGACGGCCCACCACCTGTTCTTATAAATAAAGTTTTATTGAAAACTATTAAAGTTTCAATAAAACTTTATTTATAAATAATAAGCAGCCACTCCCATTCATTTACAAATCATCTATGGCTGCTTTTCTGCTACAACAGCAGAACTGAGTAGTTGCAACCGACACCATATGGCCCACAATGGCTAAAATATTTAATATCTGGCCTTTTACAGATATGTTTGCCAACCCTAGCCCAGAATCATTTTACTCCTTCCCCATTTATAAGTTACTTTTCTCTTCCCTCATGGCATCAAATTGTATTTTGCTGCCCGAAGAACTGGTTCAATATCATTTCAAGGCCCAACGGAGCCCAGGGTGTAATTTTTCTCCCCAGACATCCTTCACACTACATGCTATGAAGCTTTTAAGAGTAATTCCAGTTTCACTTACACTAAAGATACCAGCTAGAAATATCTCTTCTTGAGAAATCCCACTTTCTATAGGATCAGCAGGTTTTGATACAAACCCTTGCCTCCTAATCCAAGAAATACTCCTTGTGCACAAACTTGAAACTCTGAAGAAACTATCTTACCCTTGACTTTTATAAGTGAGTAATTAGCTTCCAATGTCTGTTCAGTAAGAATACAAGCTCCCTGTTACTATGACTTAAACAAGCAAACCAGCCATAGTTGTTTGGTTGTGTACTGAAGTTAACTTATACTACACCAGATGGCTGGTCAGAGCTGCAGCTGGTCGTCAAGATGGTGACATAGGTTGTTCCCAACTTTAGTCCCCCTCCCAAGAAGACCAACTAGCAACTATCCACAGATAAGACACCAGTGTAAAAATCTCAGCACCCAGGGGTAAGGCTGAAGCATCCCCCGAACCACAGAGACTGAGAAGGACCACATTAGAAAGGTAAGAGGAATGGTCACCATCTAATCACGTCACCCCTCTTTCAGGCTGGCACAGCACTACACCAAGAGGGACCCCCCCCGAGCCTACAGTTTCTCCAGTGGGAAAAAAGAGCTCAAGATGAACATCCAGCTCACCTGTATTGCAGGATGTTCTGGAGGTCCACTAGGTCCTTGCCTCATGGGAATCACTGGGGATCAGATAGAGATGGAGAAGGAAGGTGAGGCTTATAGCAACCAGCGCTCATACCTTGGCAGACTGTGTTCCTGCTTTCAGTGGTACCCAAGCAGAGACACCAGCCAACAGCAATGTCCGTCTGCAGAGCCATGCTGGTGGCCCATGTGGCCAGAGAGCTCAGTTGGCAGTTCTGTCTGATTTGGGTCCCCAGTCAATAGGCCATACCAGCAGTGGCGCCTGTTCTACCATCCCACCTAGGCAGGGAAGCAAATTCATAGCCTCACCTAACTGCTGAGCACAGTTTCCAGTCTTGCCTATCCAGGAAGCCTGGCTGGAGAACCTGGATAGCCACAAAGCCCATCCTACAGCCCTGCTTGGGCAGGGAGCCAAGCCAGCAGCCCTACCCACTGTTGAACATAGCCCCTGGCCCTGCCTAACCAGGGAGCCTAAACAGTAACCCTGGGCAGCCTTGGAGCCCAGCCTATGGTACCACCACACCACAGAGCCCTGCCTACAAAACTAACCAGCAGCAGAGCCCAGACTGCAGCCCCACCCAACTCAGGGCACAGCCTGTTGCCCTGCCTGAATGTGGAGTCCAGCCAGTGATACCATCCAATCAGGAAGCATAACTTGAGATCCCACCTAAGCAGGAGCCATGTGGAGCCCAGCGCAATCATAGAGTCCAACCAGTGGCACTACCCTGCCAGGGAACACAGCTTGCAACCTCGCCAACCAGAGGTGATCGCAGAGCCCAACTAGGGCCCCTTGTGATAGTCAGAAGTCCCACCAGAACAGGTAGCTCACTGAATGGCCTCGCTTGAATGCAGAGCCTAGCCAGCAGGCCCACCCAACCACAGAACCCAGCTAGTAGCAGCACCCACAACCTCAGAGCATGTGCAGTGGCCTTGCCCAAATATAGACCTCGAAGCAAGTCCCACCTATCCACAGATGCTACCAGCTGACTGGTGAAGGTCTTTCCCTGTGAAGTGAACCTGTAAAGTCTGGAAGAGGAGAACACTTACCTAAATGTGCAGACATCAATGCAGAGAATCAAAGATCATGAAGAATCAGGCGAACATGACACTACCAAAAGAACCTAATAAATCTTCAGTAATTGACCCTAACGAAAGATCCATGAACTAATTGTCTGACAAAGGATTCACCAAATAATTCTCTTAACGAAGTTAAGTAGACTACAAGAACACACAGACAACTAAACAAAATTACGAACACAATGCATGAACAAAATACAAAGTTCCACAAAGAAACAGAAACCATAAAAAAAGGAAACAGAAATCCTAAAGCTGAGGAAAACAGGGACTACATTGAAGAATTCAATAGAAGGCGTCAACAGCAGACTCAACTAAGCAGAGGAAAGAATCGGTGAGCTGGAAGATAGGTTATTTGAAATTATCCAGCCAGAGAAGCAAAAAGAAAAAAGGAGTGAAGAAAGCCTATGGGAGTTGGTGACATCCATCAAGAGAAACAATATACACATTATGGGAATTCCAGAAGACGAGAAAGAGAATAGGACAGAAAGTCTATTTAAAGCAATAATGGCTGAAAACTTCCCCAACGTGGAGCGAGAAATGGGCATCCAGATTCATGAGGCCCAAAGGACCCCAAATACTCAAAAAGGGCTACCGAGACACAGCATAATTTTCAAAAGTCCAAACACAGAGAATTTTGAAAGCAGCAAGAGAAAAGTGACTTGTCACATTCAAGGGAACCCCCATAAGTTTATCAGCAGATTTCTCAACAGCAACTCTGCACCCCAGGAGACAGTGGGATATGTTCAAAACATTGAAAGAAAAAAACTGTCAACCAAGAACACTGTAACAAGCAAAGCTGTCCTTCAGAAATGAAGGAGATATAAAGACTTTCCTAAACAAACAAACTGAGGGAGTTTATCACCTCTAGACCTGCCTCACAAGATATGCTAAAGGATATTCTTAAGCTGAAAAAAATGATGCTAATTAACATTATAAAAACATATAGATGTGTAAAAGTCGCTGGTAATGGTAAATATATAGTCAAAATGAGATTTTCTAATATTGTAATGGTGCACAATTAGTTAGAACTAATCTATGAATTCAGTAAACTTGCAGA